CATTCCCACTGCCAGTTGGGCTTTGCCTCAGCCCCAGACCACAGCCTGCACCTCAGCCTGACCCTCTGAAACCACAGCAGGCCTCATTTGTCTGACTTCTCCAGGGAGCTGGAGGTGGGTGGCCAGGACCAGGCTGACAGTCCCTGGGGAAGATGCCCCGACTTCCCTCCTGTTCCTCCCTGGCCAGCAGGTCCTCACTTCCTGGGCCCTGCCATCTAGTGGCCACCTGAGGAACTGCAGACAAGCACCCTGGATGGGGCCAGAGGACACTCTGGGTGCAGGGAACACCTGCTGAACCCCAGGCTAGGCCTGCTGCCAAGACAAAGCAGCTCCTCCACCGGCCCAACACCCAGCCCTTCCTATAACACAGAGGTAGTAGCTGGGCTGCCTAAGTTTGAATCTGAGCCCAGCTGCCTCCTGGCACCTGAGATTCCTCCTCTGTAAAATGGTTATAATAATTGCACTGGCCTATCTCCAATGGGGTTAATATTGCAAAGATTACATATGTTCATAGGCATAGATTGCTTAGAGCAATGCCTGAGGGAAAACTGCCACTACATAAGTATTTGCTGTCATTAGCCATTATTGGCCCCATGTCCTTCCCTTCCTGCCTCCCAGCAGCCCTGGAAAGTAGAAAGGGGCAGAGTTTGCCTCCAATGCCTACTCTGCCCTGACCTGGCCAGGCGATCCCAGCAAGGAACCTCTCTGAACACCTGTTTCCTCATCTTGGATCAGGTATTCCATAGGGTGGTTTTTGGGGGTCTGGATAGCAGTTCCCACTGCCTGCATAGCCAAGGCACGTGACATAGCAGGTGCTCTCTCAATGTTTCCATCGGCCTCCTCTGTCTCCCTGGCCGGGTGAACCTGACCTTGTGACTTTCCTTTGCTGAGCCTCAGTCTTCCCCACTGTCAAATGGGAACATCTAACATCTCCCTTGCAGAATCCTTAGGAGGAAAACAGACATTTGTACAACATCTGCACATAGTAGGTGCTTGTGAGAAGGGAATTTCCTCACTTCCTGGCATCTGGAGCTGGATGAGGATGGCATTTGTGGGTTGATAGTCCAGCAGCTATGGCCATGTCAAAGGAGCTTCTCCTTCCAAGCTTCTTGTTCTCTGGGACTGATGGTCACTTCCCGTTTCCCAGCCAGGCTCCTGGTTGCTCCCAGATCTGTAAGCCCCATGCCCGATGGAACCAGATGCCTGGGATTGAGCCTGTGGTGGACACTCAGCAAGTGACTGGTCCTCTTGCTTCCCTGTCCCAGATTTATTTGGGACAGCTCTTCCGGTGCCTTCTCATTGGCTCCATTCTGGGAGCCAATGTTTGGTCTCAGAGTTCTAGACACCAGAAGTCCAAAATCAAGTTGTCAGCAGGGCCACATTGCCTCTGAAAGTCCTAGGGAAGATCCTTCCATACCACCTCTAGCTTCTGGTCACTGCCGGCAATGCTTGGCTATGGTGGCATTGTGCCAGTCTCTGCCTCTGTCCCATGTGGTGGCCTTCTGCCTTCCGGGTGGTGTCTTCACATGGCCTTCTCCTAGAAACAGCATTCTTTGGGTATGTGGCGTACCTTCATCCATTGTGGCCCCATCTTAACTTGATATTTGCAAAAAAATCTGTTTCCAAATAATACCACGTTCAGAGGCATGGGGGGGTCACCACTTCAACATATGTGAGGAAACAAATTCAACCCATAACAGACACACGTGCATGCGTGCACTCTCTCTCTCTCTCTCTTTTAAGTCCTTCTAAGTTTTGTGAACCATTTTTCTATATGTTATACAGACCTTGGAACTGAGGCCCAGAGAGGGTGCCACCCTTACTGAAGTGTGCACAGCTTGTTAGCTGCAGTGTCTGGAGTAGAATACAGGATAGCTGAGGCTCCTTCCCCCGCAGTGCCTCCTCCAGGCTTGTGTTCTCTGGGGGTCTCTGAGCCTCTCCCCCATCCCATTCTAGACACCTGTCCTGGTCCTGGTCCCTGCCATGCCCCAAGGATAGGCACCTGTAGTGATTTAGGTAAACTGCTCAGTGCCTGGGCTGTTATGCCAGGTGTTACCCACATCTCCTTGAATTTGCTTAGACCTTTGCAGTGGTTTCTATGCAAACTCAGAAAGCCTGGGCTGTTGGCAGAAACACCAGGGAACTGCGAATGTTAGAAACACAAGTGCCCAGGTTGCCCCCTCAAACCAATTAAATCAGTGTCTGGGTGGGACCTGGGAAGCCATCTCCAAGTTGCCATGTGGAGGCTGCTGCTGGGTTGGTGGGATCCTAGATGGTGTTTTTTTGTTGTTGTTTTTTGTTTTTTTTTTTTTAGAGAAAGAGTCTCACTCTGTCACCCAGGCTGAAGCTGAAGTGCAGTGGCGCCATCTTGGCTCACTGCAACCTCCACCTCCCTGTTCAAGCGATTCTTCTGCCTCAGCCTCTCAAGTAGCTATGACTACAGGTGTGTGCCAGTACACCAGGCTAATTTTTTGTATTTTTAGTAGAGACAGCATTTTACCAGGTTAGCCAGGACGGTCTCAAGCTCCTGACTTCGTGATCCACGATCCACCTGCCTGGGCCTCCAAAAGTGCTGGGATTACAGGCGTGAGCCACCGTGCCTGGCCTAGATGGATATTTAAAAAATTGTTTAAATCTATTTGCTAAGAGACTGGCTAATTTTTGTGTTTTTGGTAGAGACAGGGTTTTGCCATGTTGCCCAGGCTGGTCTCAAACTCCTGGGCTCAAGTGATCTGCTCATGTTAGCCTTCTAAAGTGCTGGGATTACATGAGTGAGCCACTATGCCCTGCCCTGATTATTCTCATAGGTGCTTTCTGTGATGAGGCACTGGGAGCCTTTCGGGAGGGATGTGGCACAGGGAACCTGCTGCCCTGGAGAATGGGTGTGGTTATTGTGCCTTCCCTTTGTTTTCTACAGGTCCGACTGTAGCCTCCTCAGCCAGCCCCTTCCTAAGCCTGGGGCTGGCAGGAGACAGAGACCAGGGACAGGGCCTGGGACAGACTCCACTCAGGACTTTGCCCCCCAGCTCCCAGCTTCGTGGCTCCAAGGCTCAGCAGGTTGGCCTACTGGGATGTGTCTCCACCTCAGCTTCTCAAAGCCGGGTCCAGTTGGAGGGAAATGTGGACAATAGGGAGGAGAAAATGAGGCTGTCCATGTCCAGGGCCCCAAGCTGTCTCGAGGCTTCTGTGTCTCATGAAGAAAGTGAGTGGCAGCTAGGTCCCAGTTTGGCTCACTGGGTCATAGCCCCCATTGGCTCAAGAAAGGAGAAGGGCCTGGGCATTAAGATTTCAGAAGTCAGGACTGGGCCCAGGGGTTCACACCTATAATCCCAGCACTTTGGGAGGCCAAGACAGGAGGATCACTTGAGCTCAGGGGTTCGAGACCAACCTGGGCAACATAGTGAGACTTCCATCTCTACTTAAAGCCTGGTGGGGTGGTGTGCTCCTGTGTTCCAGCTGCTAGGAGCAAGTTGTGATGGTGCCACTGCACTCCTGCCTCAGTGACAGTGAGACCCTGTCTCAAAAAAAGGCTCAGGAAGCCCTATCAGGACTGCATGGCATCCCTCACTGACAGCCATGTCAGGTGAGGCTGCTGGGAAGGGTACAGAAGAGGGGGCTTCAGGTGACTCAGCAGGTTGACTGAGGTGGTGCAGCTTCAGGTTCTCAATCCTAGGGCTTTGAGGCTTGGCCTGGGGCAGTAGGGAGCTAAGGAAAATGGTGGAGTAGGAGGCAGCTGGAAACATCAGGGTACCCCAGCCGGTCCCCTTCTGGCTCCAGAAGGCAGAGAAGAGAGTATGGTGCTGTGGACATGTGCCCACGGGTGGTCAGCAGAGGTAGAGGTACTGTTCCAGGATGACAGGCAGCCCTTCCAGCCCCTGGGATGCCTGACCTTGCAGGCTGCCAACCACAGCCTCCTGCTGGCTGCGTACGGCTGCCAGGGGCGCCTGCTGGACCATGTGGAGGTGAGAGGACCTGGACTGGGACACAGGGAAGGGGTTACCGTTCTCTCTCTGGGCAGAGGCCACAGTGCCAGGAACCCCGAGCCCTTTGGGTCCATCCATGCCCAAAAACCAGAGCACAGGGTGAGGCCTGCACCTGCTTCTGGCACCGAGACCTTTTGTCTAGTTCATTCCTATGCGGCCCCGAGGGAGTCCCAGCCTCTTCTCTGTCTTAACAGTCCAGAATTGCAGCAGTTGGCTGCCAGGTGCAAGCCTGGCTGGAAAAGAAGTTTCCAGCACCTGGTTGGTAGCACAGGGGGGAAGGATTGGGTGGAGAGCTCCCCCTCTGGCCTGGTTTGTAACCCCCACTTGCCAGGCATCCCACACTGGGCAGGAGGGCCTGGGGCTCTCTCTGCCCTGGATCTGACCCTGATTCTGCCTTGGCTTCCCTGCCCAGGTACAGCCGGCAGGCACCCCGGATGGCATGGCAGGCCGCCTCCTTTGGCTGTCCCAGGCAGGGCTGGAGGCCATGCAGGTGAGTGGTCGGGCCATCACCACCTTGTGAGGCCAGAGCCAGGCCAGGCAGGCACTGACCTAGCACCTGCTTCTTTACCTGGACCGGCTGCAGGTGGGGCTGGAGCAGCGGTGGAATGAGCTGCAATGTGAGTGTGGGAGGGAGGGCTCAACCCTGCACCAAAATCCAGGCCCAGTCCGGTGCCTGAAGCCCTCACATTGGCCTATGGCATTGTTTCAATCAGAATGGTGGCCTTGCTTCCCGCCGGCCTGCAGCTCAGCTGTGTTGAGACCCCCGCCTTACTTCTTACAGACCTATAGTCTTTGGTGCTTTGTTTTGTTTTGTTTTGTTTTTTAACAAGGAGTATTGCTCTGTTACCCAAGCTGGACTGCTGTGGCACGAATTTGGCTCACTGCAACCTCCGCCTCCAGGGTTCAAGCAATTCCTGTCTCAGCCTCCCAAGTAGCTGGGACTACAGGTGAGTGCCACCACGCCCAGCCAATTTTTCTATTTTTAGTAGAGATGGGGTTTCACCATATTGGCCAGGATGGTCTTGATCTCTTGACCTCGTGATTCGCCCGTCTCAGCCTCCCAAAGTGCTGGCATTACAGGTGTCAGCCACCGTGCCTGGCCCAACCGTTTTTTCCATAGTCTGCTGTCTTATTGTTACAGGATCTCCAAGCTAATATCCCTTATGCCTGCTGCCTAGGTTTCTCCAGTCTTCTGCCTGCTTTCTTTTGAGTGGACAGCCTTGTTTCTGTGAAGCTCACTGCCACACGGTCTCTTTCTAGTTCCATGATGGGCTCTCTGTGGCCATGTGGTTGTTAAATGCTCACAGCTACTGCCCTCCTGGCAGGACTAAGAACTTCTGGCCTCTCCACCATCCAGAGCTAATGTCTGGCCCAGCGCAGAGAACCCAAGACCTTGCCCAGCGCCAGGGTGGGTGTCCCTCTGACTGGCTGTTGAATGTCACCTCTGTATCCTCTCTGCTGTGCCAGAGTCCCATGGCCACCCACAGGGCAGTAAATTTGAAAGAGTGCTCCACGACTCGGCACACTGTGCTGTTTGCAGCTATCATTGACTACAGTGAGAGGAGGCAGGAGTGTTGGCGCAGGGAAGGGGGCCGGGGCAGAGTCCAGGGGGAACCAGTCCCAGCACCTTCACACGGGAGGCACTTGGCTGTCCTAGCATTATGTGACACAGGGTCTTTAGTGGGGCTGCCCCATTGGCAGGTGCTGCTTGGTGCGGACCACGCTGTCAGACTCCTAGGAGGCAAGCAGGGGGTCAGCATAAAGCACGTTTGTGCAAACAGTTCAGGTGCAGAGAGCCTTGTATCACTCTAGGAGTGGTGGGAGCCCTCCCCAAATCCAAGTTCCCAGACAAGCTATGAGCAGGCCATAGAGGTGGCTTGGTTCTGCTGTGACAACTCACCCGCAATCTCCAGTGCCTGCTGCTCTATTCCTTTTCCCCCACTCCCCCACCAACTTTACCCCAGGAAGAGGCCCTCTCTCCTTGAGGCCTGGGCTAAGCCTCTGACCTGCCCAGAGGCCTCATGTTGGTTGTTGGCTGCCAGTTGCAGGGCCCCTGGCCACACTGAAGGACTCCTACCTGGAGGTGATGCTGCAGCCCCTAAAGGAGATATGGGAGTGGGCAGAGGAGGCCATGTGGTGGCTGCAGATCTGGGTGCCCGGGATGCCAGGCAACGGGGGTCCCAGGCCCATCAGGATGGCCCTGGGGTCCGGGAAAGCTGCCCTGGAGCTGGTGAGTGAGAACAAGAATGGGGCGTGGCTGGCAGTTGAGGACAACTGAGACAGCTCTCACTATCCCCTCCCTCTCCAAGTGGCCCACCAGATGCTGTCCTGGGCTGAGGCCATGTTCTCACGGGCACAGAAGAGGCTCTGCAAACCCCTGCTGGACCTGTATGGCCTCACAGCCAGGTAACACAGGGCTGGGAGTGGTGCATCCAGCGTTCCTACCACATATCAGGCACAATGCTGAATGCTTCGACACGCTCTGACTCACTGACTCCTCTGACCGCCCTGCACAGAGGCTTCTTCACTCCCCATTTCACAGGAGAGGAAGCTGGGGTTTCTTCCTCACTCCATAGAGACCTCATGAGCACGGTTCCAGTGCAGGTAGGATTTTAGGAGCTGCTGCAGAGAAGCGCAGTGGGCAAGGCTGACCCCTGCCTTCAGGAAGCTCAGTTTTACTCAGAGACAGACATGAAGCCCAAGAAATCATCTACAGCAGGGTATGCACAGCTCCCTGCAGAGAGCCTGAGAGTCACCTCTCTTAAGCAGGCCATTCCGCTGTGTCACATTTCCCTTTGTTTTGTAATCATTTTTTTTTTTTTTTTTTTTTTTTCTTGCTCTGTTTCCCAGGCTGGAATGCAGTGGTGTGATCTCAGCTCATTGCCACCTATGCCTCCTGAGTTCAAACGATTCTCCTGCATCAGCCTTCCGAGTTGCTGGGACTACAGGTGTCTACACCATCGCACCTGGCTGTTTTTGAGTTTTTAGTAGAGGCAGGGTTTTATCACTACAGGCTGGTCTCAAACTCCTGACCTTAGGTAATGCACCCCACCCCCTTGGCCTTCCAAAGTGTTGGAATAACAGGCATGAGCCACCACTCCCAGCCTGTTTTGTAATCTTTTAAACACACAAATCCCTTCTTTCTTGCAGGCCATGCGGAAGCCGGCTGTGGGCTGGGTGTGGCCCACTGCTCATCATTTACCACCACCGAGCCGTACCTTAGGTGGCAAATGCTAGAGATGGAACATTGGTGAGATGGTGGGCTGGGAATCCTATGGTGTGGCCATGGTCAGCTTTGAGGAGAAGGTACAGTTCAAGCAACAGCCATGGGGCCAGAGTGGGAAGAGAGTTCCAGGTGGGAGCACCACTGCACAGAGGCAGGGATGTGCCTGGCCTGTTTTTGAGATAGAGTCTCATTCTCTGTCACCCAGGCTGGAGTGCTGTGGTATGATCTCAGCTCACTGCAACCTCTCTCAAATTAAAGTGATTCTCCTGCCTCAGCCTCACAAGTGGCTAGGATTACAGGCATGCGCCACCATACGTGGCTAATGTTTGTATTTTTAGTAGAGTCAGGGTTTCACCATATTACCAGGTGTGTCTCAGACTCTGGGCTCCAGAGACTTGGCCTCCCAAAGTTCTGGGATTATGGGCAAGAGCCACCATGTCTGGCCTGTTTTAATAGCAAGCTGGTTGGGCTGAAGCAGAATGTGAGCAACGGAGAGTGGATGCAACTGGGAGGGACTGGGAGGTCCCAAGGCTGGAGGGTGACGGGGAGGACTCTGGCTTCTGCTCTGATTTAGGAAGGACATGATCACCCTTTCACTTCAAAAGGCCCCTTTGGTCCCTGTGTTGAGAACACGGCTGTGGTGGATGGAAGTGGGGAACCAAGTCTAGAGCAGGGGCCTGGGGACCCAGTATCCTTTTCCCTCCCAGGCATGAGGCCCACCAGGAACTGGGCTCCAGGAAGGGAGGCAGCCCCCTTCTTCCATGCTGGTGGCCTCGCAGAGTGTCTGGACTCCAGCTCTGCCTCTAACTGGGATTCCTCTGCATTGGCTCTGTGTGCCTCAGTTTCCCCAGCTGTAGAATAGGGACTAGACCCATGTCATAGGGAAAAGGCTCCATGTAATACAAGTTCCTGCTCCTGCTGCCTTGCAGTCAGAATGTAGGCTGAGGAAAGAAAGAGCTCCCAGTGTGGGGCTTTGGCTTGGTTGAAGAATCACCTGCCTGGTTATTCACCTACGTGGGAGTGGGATCTGGTGGGGGTGGCAAAAAATGGATTCAACTGGCAGGGAGGGCATTCAGGCTCTTCTTGTCCCCAGCTGCAGGGCCTCTGGGCTCCCTAGAAGGTAAGTGAGGCCACCTGCCCCTGCACCCCCTCCACTGGCCTATCAACAACAGAGTGAGCAATGTTCCTCATCCCACTCCACCCCTACATGAGCCCAGATCTCCCTGATCATTCAGATCTCATGGGCTTGACCGTACTCTGCATATTGAGAAAGTGCCTGTCCTCCCCTCAACTGTAGACATTTTCTAGACCTGTTGGCTGGGCACAGTGGCTCATGCCTGTAATCCCAGCACTTTGGGCGGATCACTTGAGGTCGGGAGTTCAAGACTAGCCTGGCCAACACGATGAAACCCTGACTCTACTAAAAATACAAAAATTAGCCAGGCATGGCAGTGAGTGCATGTAGTTCCAGCTACTCTAGAGGCTGAGACAGGAGAATCACTGAAACCCAGGGGGCAGAAGTCGCAGTGTCAAGATAGTACCACTATACTTTAGCCTGCGACACAGAATGAGATTCTATCCCAGAAAACAAATCAAAACAATTTCCTACACCTTCTAGCTCCTGTCCTCTGCAACCCCACACATAGGCCCCATGCTGCCCAGGACCCAGGGGGCAGATCTGGCATGACATCAGACATCTGTGTCCTCAAAATAAGGCAGGTTGTTTCTGTTCTGGCCTCAACCCCACCTCCACTGTGTGCTCCTCCACCTCGTTATGGGATTCCCTAAAACAAGGACAGCCCCTCCCCAAGGGGCACCTCCATGCTTTCCATGGCAGAGCTCTTCCTGCAGACCTGTGAGCTCCCCCTCTGCAGCCAAAGGAAGCATGGCTCGGCTGGGCAGAGCAACTTGTCCTGTGCGTTCGCTCTAGAAACTACTCAGTGGTGGTGAAGCTGCTGCTGCTCCTGCTGCTGCCTGGGGGTGACATGGCCTGGGTGACTGGCTGCCTGGTGGAGGAGAAGCTGCTGTGGCCACTCTGACAGCTGTCCAGGGCCAATGTGCTGGCCGGGTTCTACCGGCTCAGATGCCGCCTGCTGCAAGGTCCCTGGGAGTGTGAATCCTGCCCCATGCTGTGCCACCCTCCTCCCTGGGAGCCCCCTGCCCCATGGGCACAGCAGCAGGGCCATACAGGGACAGGTACTGTGGGGGCAGAGGGAAGCCTGCAGAGGTTCATGGCATCACAGTGCCAGGCCCAGAGCTTACTGGACTTGCCAAGGTCCTGTGGGTCTAGAGCTGAGGCTACACATCCTGCTTTTGTCCAGAACATAAGGCCTGGCCCAACAGAGGAGTACAGTGGGTGGTTTAGGGCTTCAGGCCAGCTCCCTCCCTGTGGGCTCTGCTGGAGCAGAAGGCAGACCTCCCATTACAGCTGGAAGGGCACTGAGTTCGCAGGTCAGGGGCAATCTGCTACTGGGATGACCAGCTCTGGGCTCCTGGGGAGCTTGCGTGTGGCTCAGGTGAGCCTGCTAACCTCTGTGGACTTGGATTCCTCCACTGTGAAATGCAGGTAACTTGGCCTGCTCAAATGGGTAAGGGGCATGTACTGTTCTTAATGCATGAGGGAGCCCCTCCTGTCAGTGGGGGAGCCACTGTTCCCAGGCCTGGCAAAGAGCGGTTTATCTGTGTGCGACTCACATGGAGGCCTAGGGCTCCCTAGAAGCATGGGTGCAGTCATGTCTAAGCAGCACGTTGATGCTATAGAAAAAAGCCTCATCTTCAAGTTGTGTGTGTGTGTTACCATGGGCTTCTCTGTGCCCCTCAGTTCTCATAGCTGACCATGGGACTGGTAGTGCCTCCCAGGGGATGATGGCCCTGGCCAACAGGTGTCTGGCTGTGCAGGATGGATGGTGCTTTCCCACCATGGGCAGGAGCACCCCCAAGGCACAGCTCAGGGGCCGCGCTGGCTGGACTGCTCAGACCTGCTCCTTCACAGGCCATCTCTTCCCTACCCTGAAGAGGGCAGGTCTGCAGGGCACCGCTATCATGTTTGAGGGAGCTGTTTGCCATCCACTTAATGTCTTTTTCCCCCCAGTAGCTTCCTTGAGATTAAATGGATGACTTTTATGATTTTTTTTTTTTTTTTTTTTTTTGTTGCACTTTTATGATTTTTTTTTTTTTTTTTTTTTTTTTTTTTTTTTTTTTTTTTTTGAGACTAGGTCCCACTCTGTTGTCATGGTTGGAGTGCAGTGGTGCGCTCTTGGCTCACTGCACCCTTGACCTCCTGGGTTCAAGTGATCCTCCTACCTCAGCCCTGCAAAGCACTGGGATGGCTTAGCACCACCGTGCCTGGCCAATTTGTGAATTTTAAATGCACAATTCAGTGGCTTCTAGTTTATTCAGAGTTGTGCATGCCTCACCAAAATCGATTTTAAAACGCTTTTATCATCCTCAAATAAAACCCTGCAGCTGCCAGTCTGCCTGCTGTATCCATGGCTGTGACTGCTCTGGACATCTGATATAAACAGAGGTATGACTGTGACCTCTGAGCCAGACTTTGTTACTTAGCACAGCAGTTTTGTAGTGGGTCTCAGGACTCGATTCCTCGTTAGGGCTGAATTGGCTGTAGCCCTTCAGCTCATGTCATCCTGAAGCTGGTGGGGGATCGCTGGGGCTCTGGCTGCTGCACCAGGGGAGGGGGACTCCTGGCCTTAGGGCAGGCTAAGCCGGGGCTCTAGGCATTGGGGTGCCCAGCAGGCATTGGGCTCCCACTGCGATGGGTGGAGCTGGCTCCACTTACCCTGCCTTTGGGGCTGCTTCTCCCCAGACCATGCCCTGGTGCCCTGGGCCCAGCACGTGGTGACTTTTGACAGCCGGGTGTGAAACCTCAGCATCCAGTGCAGCAGCATCCTCCTGGCCCAAGACTTTGCTCACAACACATTCTCCCTGATGCTGATTCGGACAGGCTTGGGGCTCATGGCCCTGACCGTGGAGCTGAACCATGTGACCCTCATCTTCTACCCCAGCCTGCAGGTGAGAAGGAGAGGCCCGAGCTTCCCCTGGAGACCTGTGCCTGTGGCAGGTTGCCTGGGGGATGGCACTTTCAAGCTTGTCCCCTGGCTGTGGGTCAGCTCTCCTGCCCACCCGCTCTGGTCCACAGGCCTACAGGCTATACAGCTCCTACCTGCTGGGGGAGAGCTGTCCAGACCTCCAGCTGCCACCTGCCCTGACAAGGAGGGATGTCCCCAGGATTGAGCTGGCCAGTGAGGACAAAGTCTGTCTCCTGTGATGTGCCCACCAGCCCCTGCAGCCTGACTCTGGGCCTCTGGCACCACGGTGAGTCTGGGCCCCGGCAGGGTTGGCTCCACCAGCAAGAGCCTCTCTGGGATGCACCATTCTCAGCTTCCAGTGGGACAGGTCCCCGGGCTGTAGGCAGGGACTGTGGTTGAGATGATGGCACTGAGGCCCAGGGCTTTCTGCCCCCATCCCTGGGATATGTGGCTCCCTGGGATAAGGGTGAAATGGGCCCTTCTCTGGTCCCTCTGCCAAGGAACATAAAGGGTGGGCCTGGATTCTGGCCACTCAAGCTGAGGCCGTGGGGAGGGGATGGGAGGGACACATGCTGTCCTCAGTCCCTGTGCTTTCTCTCCCTCCTTTGATGAGGGTATGGAGCCAGAGCCCTGGGCTCTGGGAGTCTGGGGTGGAGGTGGCAGGATTCTACCTCTTCTCAGTGTGCCTAAGGCTTGTCTCTCATACAGGTCCCCAGGGGGAGGATCACGGGCTCTCAGGACCTCCTCAGCTTCCCTTCTTCCCACAGGTATATCTGCTGGCCTTCTGGGCACCAACAACAAATAAGTCAGGCAATGAGCTGATGTTGTCAGATGGCTCTGTGGCCCACAGCCTGGAGAAGCTCATCCTGGCCTGGCAGGTGAGCAGGTGCACCTGCCCTTCCTCCCTCTGGCTGAGGCTCTTGAGGGCTGCTCACTGCAGAGTCCCAGGATAGGCAGGTGGCCTGCTGGCTCTGCAGCGGTCTTTGCAGACCCAGGGTTGGGGGGAGTCTCCTGCTGAGGCTGATGTATGTGGGGGAGCCACATGGTCCAACGGGAGGCCTGAGTCTTGCGTCTGTCCCACCAGGTGGATGGTGACTGCAAGGCCACCGAGAAGACTCAGCTGACCTGCCCAGGACAGAGCCCTGCCTGCCAGGCCTTCTTCCAGGACCTCCATTCCAGCTTGAGGAACTGCTTCCGGGTGGTGAGTGTGAGCCTGGCCCCTGGAGCACAGAAAACCCTTTCCCCAGTCTACCCTGGGAGGTGGCATGGAGGAGGGGTCTAGGCTAGAGATAGTGACTGGGTGGCCCTGATTTCAGGTGGACCCTGAACCATTCCTCAGCCTGTGTGTGCAGGACCCCTGTGGCACCCAGGAACTCCAGCCTGCTTGCAATCTGGCGGCCACCTACATCCACCTGTGTGCCTGCAACTTCGGATCCCTGGCCCATCCTCCACAGTGTGGTAAGCTGCCCCAGCCAGCTGGCACTCTGCCCCCTGGCTGGCATCTGCCTTCCAGCTGGAGGGAAAATCCATCTCTCTCTCTTGCTAGGGAGAACAAATAATTGTCATTCAAGGAATTAAGAGTCAAAACAAAATATTTATGGCCTATACAGCTTGGATGTGTGTCCCCTCCAAATCTCACATTTGTTAGAGGGTGTACATCCCTCATGGATGGCTTAGCATCCTGCGTTTGTTGAAGCATGAGTTCTTGCTCTATTAGTTCACCTGAGAGCAATTTGTTTATAAAGACCCTGGCACCTCCTCTCTCTCTTTGAACCCACTCCCATTTCTGCCATGATCGTAAGCTTCCTGAGGCCTCGCCAGAAGCCAAGCAGATGCTGGAACTGTGCTTGTACAGCCTGTAGAAATGTGAGTCAATTATCTCTCTTATTTATCATCTACTCAGGCTGGAGTGTAGTGGCACAATCTCACCTCAATGCAACTTCCACCTCCCAGGTTCAAGCAATACTCCTGCCTCAGCCTCCCAAAAATGCAGGCAGGTTTTTTGTAGATGGTGTTTTTCCATGTTGGCCAGGCTGGTCATGAATTCCTGACCTCTGGCTATCCACCTGCCTTGGCCTCCCGAAGTGCTGGATGACAGGTTTGAGCCACCGTGCCCAGCCTCACTAGGGATTTGAATGTCCACTCTCGTTTAGGGAAAATGCTCAGCCCCTGTTTTCCCTCTGCTCTCATACCGCAAAAATCATCATCAACACAGAAGATGACTTCTGTGAGCAAATGCGTGGGGGTTTGTCCCCACTACCAGGGTGGACCTCTAATTCACTTCTAACACTAGCTACCTTGAGATTCTTCAGCCAGTGCTGCATATGTTTGCCACAGCCAAAGCCCCACTAAAAGGGCATAGAAGTCAATGGTAACAAGAGGAGTGGACTTCCAAGAGCTTCAGATGCCAGAGTTAGTGGCTGCCATTCACAGACATTTAAAACTTAATGAATTCAACAGCAGAAGAGAAAATTAATCAACTGGAAAATATGACAAAGGGCAGATGACATGAGAGGATCCAACATGTCTCAAAGAAATTCCAGGCTGGGTGTGGTGGCTCATCCCTGTAATCCCAGCACTTTGGGAGGCCAAGATGAGTGGATTACCTAAGGTCAGGAGTTTGAGATCAGACTGGCCAACATGGTGAAACCCCATCTCTACTAAAAATATAAAAATTAGCCAGGCAAGGTGATGTTTGCCTGTAATTCCAGCTACTTGGGAGGCTGAAGCAGGAGAAACACTTGAACCCAGGAGGTGGAGGTTGCAGTGAGTTGAGATCTTGCCACTGCACTCTATCCTGGTGACAGAGTGAGAATCTGTCTCAAAAAAAANAAAAAAAAAAAAAAAAAGAAACAAAAAATTCCAGAATAAAAACAGGGACAGGACCCAGGACCATTTAGAGTCAGGAGGCACAATCCCCAATACAATAAATCCATCCATACCTAGACCCTTCCAAACATAACTGCAGAAAAGACAAAGAAAAAGCTACTGAGGAGGGTGGAAAGAAGGAAGAACATGTTGACAATTGCTTTCCCACCAGCAGCAACAGAAGACAGTGGAGTAAGAGAAAGTAAGCATGAGGTTAGAGATGATCCCCAGCTCAACTATTACTGAAGGAAATAACCTCAGCACTGATCTGTCTAGAGATCTCTTTACCACAAATGGACACTTACTCAAGGGATATATCCACATGTTCATTTACATATTGTCTTTGTCTGCTCTCCTGCTACAGTGGCAGAGTATTGCCAAGAGAGACCATATTTTTGCTCTCTGAAAGACTTGATTAGAAAGATGGAAAGATAAGCTACAGATTGGAAAAAAATGTTTACAAACCACCTATCAGACCAAGGACTCATCTCTAGAATATATACAGAACTCAAAGCTCAAAAGTAGGCCAGGTGCAGTGGCTCATGCTTGTATACTCCTTACACTTTTGGAGGCTGAGGTGAGATGGTTTGAACCCAGGAAGTCAAGGCTACCGTAAGCCATGATTACACTCCTGGCTGCATGATAGAGTGAGACCTTGTCTCACAAAACAAAACCTCCAAAGTAAAAAATGGGAAATAAATGCATGAACAATGTTTGCACACCCAGCCATAGAGAAACAAGGTAGTGCTACATACCTGAGCTCTGGTGAGTTCTGGCATGGGTTGGTGAGTTCCAGGGACTCTGCAACATAAAGCATTAGTTGAACATCCAAATGGCCAGGTTGTGATTTCAGCATCCACTTATGAGTGTACTAGAGAAAGTACTGTTCTAGTACCAAAAAGGCAATGGCTGTTGAGAATAAAGCTAGGCTTAGAGGCAGGAGTCAAGATCATGGTCTACCAACTAGATCCTCTCAGGAAGCAGCCCTGGACTCATGCAGTGCCAAGACAGGAAGTGGTCTGGCTCAATGGGAACCTTGGAGAATCTGGGAATCAAGCAGAAGCACTCATTGTTCTGACCGTGTAAATACAAAACTGTCAGCTACTATAGCCATCAACAGAACATCTGGCAGGACAAGCAACTCAGAAGATTTATAGCCACAGGGTAACAATGGACTATTATCTGCAGTTAAGGTCCTCTCCCTTCCTCTTAGGGTTTATTTATTTATTTATGTATTTATTTGAGATGGAGTCTTGCTATGTCACCCAGGCTGGACTGCAGTGGCACAATCTTGGCTCACTGCAACCTCTGCCTCCTGGATTCCAGCAATTCTCCTGCCTCAGCCTCCTGAGTAGCTGGGATTACAGTCACGTGCCACCACACCAAGCTAATTTTTTTTTGTTTTTAGTGGAGATAGGGATGCACCATGTTGGCCAGGATGGCCTCAAATGTCAGACCTCATGATCCACGTGCCTCGGCCTCCCAAAATGCTGGGATTACAGGTGGGAGTCACCGTGTCCAGCCGGGTTTATTTATTTTTTAATCCAGGGCTAAATTCTTCCAAATTACAGTTAAATTTTGAAGGACAAATTAAAAGGTGGTTATAAGTTACAACATAATGGCATCTTATGAAATCTCATAAGAAAAAGAGAAAGGAATTAAGACACTTTTCATTATCTTTTTGAGACAGACAGGGTCTTGTTTTTTCCTCCAGGCTGGAGTACAGTGGTACAGCCTCCCAAGTATTTGGGATTACAGGCATCTACTACCACATTTTTGTATTTTTAGTAGAGATGGGGTTTCACCATGTTGGCCAGGCTGGCTTCGAACTCCTGACCTCATGTGATCCTCCCACCTCACAACTGACCAGAGAAATTAAGACATTCTCAGATAAACAAAAGCTGAGAGAGTTGATTACATTGGGATCTACCCTGCAAGAAATGCTAAAGGGAGTCCTTCAAGTCAAAACAAAAGGATGTTAGGTGGACATTTGAAACCACATAGAAAGACCTGTATTATTGTAATTTTGATAGATATCTCTGATTTTAATTATTTTATTGGATTTAAAAGAGATATGTAACCATAAGTCTATGTTAAATATATAATTTATTTTTTAAAAATGAGGCATGGTGGCGTGCACCTGTAGTCTCAGCTATGGGGGATCGCTTGAGTCCAGGGGCTTTAGGTTACAATGAGATATGACTGTGCCACTGCACTCCAGCCTGGGTGACAGAGTGAGATCCTCTCTCTAAAATATAGATATAATTTGTAACATCAACAACATAGGACGGGGTAGAGTTGTCAAGGAGTAGAGTATTTGTATGTGATTGAACTTACTAGTTTAAAAATCGATTGCCATAACTTCAGGATGTTTTATGTAATCCTCATGGTAATTACAAAGAAAATATCTATAGAATCAAAAGGAAATGAGAAGAAATTCTAAGTGTGTCAAACCAAAAAATCAATACAAAGGAAGGCAGAAGGAAAGAAATGAGAAAACAAACCATAAGCCCTGCAGAAAACAATCCACAGAGTGGCACCGGGAGACCCCGTAAATGGTGTGCTGGAGTCCTCCAAGAGGAACTGCTCACTGAGCCCTTGGCTGTGGGCCTCATGGCACAGTTACCCACTGGGGTAGTGAGTTTCATCAGATGATAGTCTTTAAAAATGCAAATGAATTCTACAATAAAAAAACTGTAAGAGATTTACATATTGGTTGAAAGTGAAAGGATGAAAAAAGATATTCCATGCAAATGGTAACCAGAAAAAAGGAGGAGAAGCTAGGCTAATCTCAGACTAAACAGACTTAAAGTCAAAAGCTGTTTTAAGAGATAACAGTCAATTAACCAAAAAGATGTAACAGTTATAAATGTACATGCAACACACCTCAGAGCTCCTAAATACATGAAGCTAACACTGACAGAATGAAAGGAGAAACAGAGAGTTCTACAATAACAGTAGGCGACTTCATCATGACACTTTTTTTTGAGACAGAATCTGATTCCGTTGCCCAGGCTGGAGTGCAGTGGCATGAGACAGATCACTGCAACCTCCTGGATTCAAGTGATTCCTATGCATCGCCTCAGAGTAGCTGGGATTACGGGCGTATGCCACCATGCCCGGCTATTTTTAGTAGAGATGGGGTTTCACCATGTTGGCCAGGCTGGTCTCGAACTCCTGACCTCAAGTGATCCACCTGCCTTGGCCTCCCAAAGTGCTGGGATTACAGGCATAAGCCACTATGCCTGGCCCAATAACTCACTTTCATTAATGGATATAACACCCAGACAGAAGATCAAGAAGGAAGCAGAGGGCCTGAACAATACTATAGATGAACTGGACCTACCAGACATACACGGACGAGTTTGCCCAGCAGCACAATACACATTCTTCAAAGTACATGTGGAATGTTCTCTGGGAAAGATCATATATTAGGCCTCAAAGCAAGATTTAATACACTTTAAATGACTGAAATCATAATAGCAGAAGGAAAACCAGAATATTCACAAATCTATGGGAACTAAACAACCCATACCACAAAACTATGGATCAAAGAAAAATAAGGAAAATTAGAAAGTATTTTGAGACAA